CACCTTGTTTCCAAACTGTGGGCCTTTGTGATCTGAACACTGCATGTCCTCTGTCTCAATACACCTGGGCCTTGATACTCCTCTAAGAGGCCAGTGTCAATCTAGAGTGAGCCAGTGAAAGCAAAATTTGAGAGCAGAATCCGAGCACCCTTCACAGACCCCCTCGTGTTGGGAATCTTTTGGGAACATAGATGCCCTTTGCAGAGGGTAGGAATGCGCTTCCCAGCAGGGCACGGAAGTTGCTGAATTGGAGATATTGAACAAACCACATGAGAAACCGCACGGCTCCCAAGAAAGTTACAGGGAGAGATGAAAGGACAGGGTGCGAGAAAAGGAACTGATCTTAAATATAAATAAATATTTGTCTATTTCCAATTTTACTAGGTAAAACCCTTGGTGTTTCTGACAACACCGAACACTTCCAGCCACTTTCTTCTTGAATGCCTTCCCAGGCGGTTCTTGTCTTGAACCCTGAAAGCCTTCGCACTAACTGTAATGCAGAAAGAGGCAACTCACCGAAACTCTAGCCAGAAGAGGCTGGTAATTCCGTTACTGCTACAGAAAGGCTGAGCCCTCCGAGGCAGCATCTGAGTCTCACATGTCTGACAGTCACCAAACTGGGCTGTCCCATTTATCATTCCCTTGCCCGGTCTCTGTGGACTCTCAGTTTGGCAGGACTTCCACACAATTCCCTAGCCACCGTGAACAGGGAGAACAGCAGAAAATAGACCCTAGTGAACTGCAGCTTAAGAATATCCCCTGGGAGTGAAGAAAAAATTGGCTGAGACATAGCCCAAAGTCTCAGGGGAACCAAATAAAATTAATAGACCGCAGGTTTAAAACAAACATGTCACACCTCTGACACACTCACACAGGCCCCTAGCCCTGCAACAAACCCCTTTGCCAACTCTGTCCACACATCTATACAAGTGACACCATCACAGGACCTAACCACATCAACTACAAGATCAGAGGCTCATTCAACTGTACATTGTCTAATGCAGGGGTCGACAACCTATGCTTATAGAGTCAAATATGGTTCAGTAGAGACCCAAATATGGCTCTTCTGTCATCCCCAAAATACACGTAACTCTTTTAAATTAAAATGACAAATTAATTCAACATTTTTAAATGGTGTAATTACTCATGTCAAGATTTTTTTGACTATTTTACCTTTAACTGTTCATTTTAATAAGCATCGATCCTCTCCACTCATTGGGGGTTGTGTATATTCCCTTTTTATTTGATTGCTTGAGTAATCTTTCCATAATCATACGTGATGATAGATATCAACATTTTCATAAGCAGTGGGCAGACTTCTATGCATTTGTGAATAGGTGTGGATCTCCACATTGTCTCATTTATCACGAGAGATGGTTAGAAAACAATAAAATAAAAAGACTTTTCCTGTTTCATGATGAAACATGCAGCATGTGCTATAAAACACTCCAAGGGTGATGCACAAATAATTACTTTGTTATTGTTAATCTTTGTATTATCAGCAGGGTTTCCTGAAGGATTGGCTGTAAAAAATCAGGTAAACTTTGTTGACTGGATCATCATACTTATTATACATTTATAAGTTCAGCATGGTCATTTCTTTCTTTTCACTTTGCCTATCTGAAAACCTAACTTCTATTCATCCTATTTATTCGATAATGGTGAGGCTACATCTGGAGAATTGAATCCTCTTCTGGGTCCCCCAGTATAGAAAGGATGTGGACGCATTTCAGAGGATCCAGAGGAGAGCAGCCATACTGATTAGGGGGCTGGAGCTCATGACCTACAAGGAAAGGCTGAGAGATTTGGGCTTCCTTAGTCCACAGAAGAGAAGAGTGATGAGGAATTTGATAGCAGCCTTCAACTCCCTGAAGGGGGGTTTCTAAAGAGGATGGAGGGAAGCTGTTCTCCGTGGTGTCAGATGGCAGAATAAAGAGCAATGGTCTCAAGTTACAGTGGGCAGCTCTAGATTGGATATTAGGAAACCTGGTTTCCCTAGGATGGGGTTGAAGCATGGGAATGGGTTCCCTAGGGAGGTGGTGGAACCTCCATCCATAGAGGTTTTGAAATCTCGGCTTCACAAAGATCTGTCTGGCATGGTTTAGGTGGGGTTTAGGTGGGGTTGCAAGTAGGAATAAGAGATCCTCCGGAATAGGGCTTTATTCCAGAGGATCGCGCCAGTCTGGACTCTTTTTCCTGGCTTTTCTCCAAGCCGGAAAAAAGCGGCAGCCATGTTTATTTAAATCCCGCAGGGGATATTTAAATCCCCCGCGTATTTCCCTATTCTGACTTCTCTCATTTCCATAGCTATAACGGGTAATGTGGCCAGTGTAGACACAGCCTAGGTGTCAGGACCTGCTCCGACTGTGAAGTAGAACAATGCAGAACCCAGCAAGACTGGGATAGAGCACCCCAATTAATGCGGAGACACCTGTACCCTCTCTTGCAACACGTGGGCAATCACATTCTGCGGAAGCATTTGCTCACTTTGTCATGAAGCTCTTTGGTTCTGGCCCCATAAATGATGGGGTTAAGCATGGGAGGGATGAGGAGATAGAGGTTGGCCAAGATAATGTGAATATGGGGAGCGATGCCCTGACCGAATCGGTGTGTCAAGCTCGTGAAGTAGCCTGGAGTATAACTGATAACTATCACACAGATGTGGGCGGTGCAGGTGTTGAGAGCCTTCTGGTGGGCTGTCTGGGAGGAGATTCTGAGGACGGCCCTGAGGATCAGACCATAGGAAAGAGCAATGAGCATCAAGTCTAATCCACTAACTGTAAATGCTACCACCAAGCTGTACATGCTGTTGACTTTAATGTCCCCACATGACAGCTTTGCCACGGCCATGTTCTCACAGTATGTATGGGCGATAGTGCGGCTGGCACAAAATGGCAGCCTGCTTAAGAAGAGGGGCAGAGGCAGCATGAGGAGAACAGCTCTTAGCAAACCCACAAGCCCTAAGGTAGCTATTCTTGCATTGCTGAGGATGGTGGTGTATCTGAGAGGATTACATATGGCAACATAGCGATCAAAGGCCATTGTGACCAGGATGGCTGACTGCGTAAAAGAAACTGTGTTAACAAAGAACATCTGGGTGAAGCAGCCACCCGCCGTAATGCCTTTCAAATTGAACCAAAATATACACAGGGTATTCGGCATGATGGAGGTGGTTTTGACGATGTCTGTGAGCGCCAGCATGGAGATCAGCAGGTACATCGGCTTGTGCAAGGCCTTCTCTTGGCCTACAACAAATAGAATTGTGACATTTCCCAAGAGGGTGATAATGTAGGACATAGCGAAAGGGATGGCAATCCAGACATGGGCGTTTTCCAGGCCAGCGATGCCCATAAGGAGAAATATCGACTGATTAGAGGTAGTGAGGTTGAAACCTGCCATGACGTTATCAATTTGTAGATTGGTCTCAGAAACACTCATGTTGCCTGTGAAGAGAGAGAAACACATGAAAGGGCTTATGCACTATCCACAACACTTAGTACAGTATACACATGATAGTTAGTAACACTCGAAAAAGAGGGACGAGCAATGAGGTGGCAACATTTCAGATGGCACTATCTATATCTATCTCCATCTCCCTCTGTCCCTCTCCACATAAATGCCTATTGTATGGAACAGCTTGAACTCTTCAAACATCTAACCATATTCTGAACTGTATGGACTCAGCAAAAAGACCGGGGAGTCATGGTACTGAGCTTTGTGATACCCTGCTCACAGAGCAAGAATGGACAGGAACTAAGGAAATATATCCAGGTGAAGTGGGAGGCAGAATCTTAGAAGAAAAGGCAGTGCCATGAGAGCAGTCATTCGATGTTTTCCTCTCCTCTGGACTCTTCTCTATACAGGCAGTCCCCGGGTTACGTACAAGATAGGGACTATAGGTTTGTTCTTAAGTTGAATTTGTATGTAAGTCGGAACTGGCTCCAGATTCAGCTGCTGCCACTGAAACTGACCAGGGGCTGACTACAGGAAGCC